GCGTCATCCGTCGGTAAAAATGCGCAACGTTTTAGTATCCATAGGGCCAGTTTCACCATCTCCGATTAACGTGATCCTTCGAAACTTACGAAAGAAAGAGACAAAGAATGAGTTTCGAAGGATCACGTTAATCGGAGATGGTGAAACTGCCCTTACATTTATTATTAAAATAAAAAATTAAATTATTTTTAAAAAATATAATATATAAATATAGGATATTGAAATGAGTAAAAAAGTTATTATTTACGTTTTATAAATGTTTTTATTGTTGTTATACAACTCTGCGTGTAATAAAATTATAATACAATAATATTATTGGCCTATACTACTACTACGTTTACGCGAGCGTTACTTCTGTAGTAACTTACGATAATTTCTTCGCGTAAACGAGATTTTCTTTCGCGTAAACGGGATTTTGTAGTAACTTATGATAATTTACTCCGCGTAAACGAATGCATTCTCATAAGTTACTATAGAAGTAACGCTCGCGTAAACGTAGTACTAGTTTACATTCTATGTTTACATTCAAAGCCTGTGAGGATTGTATACGAAATAATAAATAGTGTAAAGGATCTAAATCGTTTCATTATTTCATATGCAATCCTTAAGGTATTCCTTTCACGGAGGAGCGTATTTTGTAGGCGCTTAAGCAGGGCCTCAGCAAACTTGTATATTGCATTAAACTTATATAAAATCAAGTTATAATTATTATTATGTTTAATTATAAGAAAAAAGTGAAAATATTACGTGTATTTAGAAATTTTTTATTTTTTAGTAAATTTTACTGTCAGAACAATATGGCAACGCTGCGCTTTTCAGAGCGCCGATTGTAAAATGTTAAGTTGATAACAAAAGTGTCAATGTAAGTGTCAATTTCATTAATCAAAGAATATTACCAATCTTCTCCGTTCTTTCCAAATGTGGAAGTGGAATGCGTCGAAGGCCAAAGCGAGAGGCTGACGCAACGTTTCAGCAACGTTCAAGGACGACACACGTCCGTAGAAGATAGACGGAGGAAACGCCGGTCGTAGACTCTGAAAAATAGAACGACAATAATGACATTAATTTGTGCCGATTCTCGCTAAATTTACTAATTTTCGAATTATGATAACTAACTTACCAATCTTCTCCGTTCTTTTCGAATGTGGAAGTGGGATGCGTCAAAGGCCAAAGCGAGAGGCTGATGCAACGTTCGAGCAACGTTCAAGGACGACAAACGAGGTACGTCCGTAGAAGATAGACAGAGGAAACGCCGGTCGTCAACTCTGAAAAATATAATGACAACAATGACATTAATTTGTGCCGATTGTCGCTGGATTCACTAATTTTCAATTTATGATAATTAACTTACCAATATTTTCCGTTCTTTCTAAATGTGGAAGTGGAATGCGTCGAAGGCCAAAGCGAGAGGCTGACGCAATGTTTCAACGTTTCAGGATGATACACGAGACACATCCATGTACACATCCATACCGCACAAGATGACCGATCGTTGATTTCAAACACTTACATTACACAAGAAAATTCGGCAATAACTCATGTCGCGATCAGTCGCGATGCTCGTGATTGCTCGCCCGTTGTTGCCCGTTACTACGTGACGACGTGACCTACGTGACTCGGCCACTCGGCTCACGTGACTGATTCACTGACGCCATATTGAATTTTGGCTACGTAGTTCCATTTTTACGAGTAAGCCAGAATAGGTGGCGCTGAAACGCGAAACGACGAAATTGTACGGGAGAGTACACCTAAACAAATTTAGCCCCCCCAAGTGGAGTATTGATATATTTTTTTTTACCAATCGTTTGGTGGTTGATTGGTAGTATTTGGTACCGTATTCAAAACGTTCGGTAGTTTCTCGTTTTTCTAGGAAATCAAAAACAAATTTTTGATCTTCTTTTAGCCCCCCCACTTTGACTGTGGTAGTTTTGTTTTTTAATCGATTGGCGATTGATTGGCAATGTTTGGTACCGCATTAAAAACTTTTGATGGTTGCGCGTTTCTTTAAAAAATCGAAAAAACAAATTTTTGATCTTCTCTTAACCTCCCCACTTTGACTGTGGTAGTTTTTTTTTTTTTTTAATTGATTGGCGATTGATTGGCAATGTTTGGTACTGCATTGAAACCTTTTGGTAGTTTTGCGTTTTAAAAAAAAAGAATTAATTGTCAACAAATTTTTAACCTTCTTTAGCGCCTACACTTTGACTGTTGGAAATTTTAAATTCTTTTTTTACCAATCGTTTAGTGGTTGATTGGTAATGTTAAGAGCTGTAAGTTATTGAAAATTTTATTTTAACATTCCAGTTATGTATAGTGACGATTGCACACATTGACTAATGCTGCGTTCCCACTACACGCGT